TAAAAAATTAAAAAATAAATATTTTAATTTAATATTTTTTAATTTTTTCTTTTCTTATTTTTCTCAAATAAAATAAAATTTTAATATTAACAATTATTTTAATTGTTTATTTAATTTACTATAAAACAAAATATAATTAATTTTATTAACAGATTATTGTGGTTTAATTAAATTAAACACTTTTATTTTTTATACTTTATATATTTTTTCTTTATTTTAAAAATTTATAAATAAATTAAAATGTATTAATATCAATAACAGTTTCTAGAATACTATATATACAATTACACAAGAATAAACAATAAAATTATTGATAGAATAAATCTAAGTTCTTCTAAATAAATTGTTTAAATTAAAAGTAAAATATTAAAAAATCTGATTTTTCAATGATTAGTAAAATTAATAATTTTTAAGAATTGTTAAATATTATTAAATATTATAAATAAAAAAAAATAAATTTCAAATAAAAAAAAAATATTTCCTTTAATATAATTTTATTTTCTCACATTATTGACAAGAAGTTGTTAAGTTTATTATATGCAAATATTTATTCAAAAATAAATAATTTCAAAGAAAAATAGATGAAAAGAAAATATATATATGAAAACAAATATAATTATATTTTTAAATATAATTATATTTTTAATTAAATAATTCATTATATAATTTTTTTTATAATATTTAAAATATCTGATATTTTTTTATAAAACTTTTAAGTTATAATTTTAAAAAAGAATGATATAAAAAAGATATAAAATAGCAATATTAGATTTTAATAGCATTATTAAAATCATTACATTTGCATGTTATTCAATTGCATATTATAATTGTAATTATCAAAAAAGATAGCTGTGAAATTTTATTGAAAATAACATTTAAATTTGTTTGTTCTAATTTCATTTGTCAAACTTAATTTGATTAATTACTTAAGAAATATATAATTTGATAATTAATTGTTATATTACTTTACAAAGATCTCAATATTTGTCATAGCCATTTTACTATTACTAACATTATTTTTATATATCAAATTAAATCAAAAATTAATTTAATAGAAAATATATTTTGATATCGCTATTTTAAATATATTATTTATATATATACATACTTCATATTTACGTATAAGAAAATTATATAATATAGATTTTATAATATGTTAAATGTATTTTAAATTTTATGAATATTTTACTTTTTACTTTTTTACATATTCATATAATAACTAATTTTTAATATTATAATTATGCAATATATCACAGAGATAATTTTGCACATATTCAAATTTTCTATATACATATCAAAATGAAATTGTACTTATATTAATATTATGCAATAAACATAATTCGCATATATTACTACAAGAAGTTTAAAAGATATATATAATAAAAAATGAAAATAAACAAATATATAATACTGTATCATAAAAATAATTATAAAAAAGTGTATAAGTTATTTTTAATGCCCCCGCCTATGAATTACATTCCACTTTTAAAAAAATTTACTTTCCACTTATAAAAAACATTTTTTATGTTTTTAAATTATGTTAATAAATATATTATGTAACATTTAGAAATTTTTTTTACGTGAAAGTTGAAGTTTATAAAAAATATAAACATTTATATATATAAAATATAAAAGTGTATGTTCTAAAACACATGTTATACAGCAATTCAACTTTATTTGAATTACATATTCAAAATTAGATTTCTTAAAANTATTCATGTAATTAATATAATTTTATTATATATATATAAAATATTTATATAAATATTATAATACTATTAATATTTATATAAATATATATTAAAAAAAGGAAAAAAAATAATAAAAAAATGTAATTACATAATACATAGTTTAACATAAACAATAGTCTGCATTTTAAATTTTTTTGCTTATAATAAACATAAAATAGAACATGTTGCCTTTCTATGTATAAAATGATACCTTATTATTTGTTTTAACAATATAATAGTATAAAATAGATAAAGTAATTACATATAAAAATAATAATTCTTAAATATTATGAAACAAAAAATAATTACACTTTGTACACATATTTCTTATGATTTATATTACTTTTGACAAATATGCGTAAAATATGAAAGTATATTTTATTATTAAAAAACAAAAATAAAGTTTAAAAAATAATTATTTATTTTTATAATTATGCTCATATCTAACATATTAAAGTGCATTCAAAAATGTAATGAGTAAAAATATTGTTATATTATATTATACTTTACGCTATTTTTATGTCAAAAGTATCATCATTAGAGAAAGAATTGGAATTATCTAAATAATAAAAGTTATCATTTTAGAAGAATATATAAAAATTACAATAAAGTTCGAAAAGGCAAACATATTGCGAAAAGTAATTTTTTTTAATTTAATATTTTTAGCATTGAAGACTAATTAAATTCTAGGATTCTTCTATAGATAATTTTAATTTTGTTCATTATCAAAAAGATTTTACATTCATATAATTAATGTAATTTTATATTATTCTAAAGAAAAAAATATTTAAATACTAAAATAAAATTAAACTTTGATTTTCTTCTACTTAAAATCTATGTAGATTAATAAATGAATAGGTTTTGAAAAATTATACTCAATATATTCACATTATTTTAACAACTTATATATTATTTTGTTCTCAATAATGAAAACAAACTTGACCAGCCTGTTTAAGTAATATGTCAATTTAACTCACTGTACATAGATTGATAAAGTCACAGAAGTATATGCCTTCTGCCTTTAATACGATTTACCAAATTGCATATTTTAAGTGCTGGTCCAAGTTTTAATCCCATATACTTCATCATCATATCAGAATTTAAAAGTAACAAAGCTTTTCCGTCGATTTCCTGAAAATTATTTTATTTTATTAATAATTAATATAATATATAATTCTTATTTATTATGCAGAAAAACTCTATATTTGCAATTAATTATAGTTCGCAAAAATTAATAATATGATAAAAATTCTCGTTCTATTGTTATTCAATTATTAATTATTTGCATAAGATTTTAAAATTCTTTTCAATGGAAACAAAAATTTCACTATTATATAATTAATTGAATAATAAATTCTTTCGCTAAAAAATATTTATATTTCAAAAAATATTATCATGATATTACTTATGCTAATGAATAAACATATAAAAAAATTGTGAAAAGATATTTGAAATTTTATTTATAAAATATAAATTTTAAAAATCAATGTTCTTATTTTTAAAAAATAAAAAAAA